CTCTGGTAAAAACGGACTAATCTGTTGGATAAAGACTGTCTGATGAAGGATAAAGTACTTATGTTGTGTTCACCAGTTATTCAGGGAACAGGTGGAAGAGAACTTGGAGAGGTGGAGGTATGCACTTGAAAGAAGAGGAATTTTAGTAAGACAGAGTACCGTATTTTTCACCCTATAAGTCACGGCTTTTTGCACAGTTTAGATGCCCTGCGACTTATAGGCCGAGGTGACATATTTATGGATTTTTTTTCCCATATTTATAAACCATTTTTTGGCTGAGATATGACAGTTTTCATTCATTCTGACTGACAAAATTGAACACCAACATTTTCAGCCGCTAGATAGCACTTGAGTAGTAAGGCATGTCGTTGTGACGTGTAATTGGTAAACGTGGCTATAATGACAAATTCAAAAAAGTTCAAGACAAAAACAACTGGACTTTATTTATGATACTTTATACTTTATTGTTTTTGTCTTGAACTTCTTTGAATTTACCATGTCCTGGATGACAGAGAAGCTTCACCAGCTATTATTGATACAATCGGCTTGCCATAGATTGCCACTTTCGCTCTGCTCGCTGCCTGGAGCAACCGTCAAATCAGCTTCATTTTGCAGCGCTGCCATGGCGAAATGCAGCTAATTTGACCATTAAAGTGCATTTATTAAGTCAAAGTTCAACTGAGACACACCTTTTCTATAATGTTGAGCAAACAAATACTTGTTTAGGTGCTTTTCTTGTTAAATTTTGAAGAAACGCGCAGCGTTCCTTCTTCCTTTTTTCCTCCGAGTCTGCGGACTCCCGGGAGCACCGAGGCAGCGAATACTTTGGAAATAGAGCTGATTTGACCTTTAAAGTCCTTTTTATTAAGTAAAAGTTCAACTGAGACACACCTTTACTATAATGTTGAGCAAACAAATAATTGTTTTTAAGTGTTAATCTTGTTAAATTCTTGTTAAAGTCCTCCCGTGCACGCTCAATTTTTGGCACAACACCATCCCACATTTCCAGGTTGTCACCGGTGACGCGTAACAAACATGACGCGTCAACGGTGACGTATAATAGATGCGACTGATACGACGAAGCAACATATTTATGGATTTTTCCACTTTATTAGACATGTTTGGACTGATGCTACTTGTAGGGCGGAAAATATGGTATGTGTGTGAATGAGATGAAGGCCGGTGGAACAGTGACTACAAGGAGCAGAGGTCACAAAGGTGCAGGACTTCAAGGACTTGGTGTCCACTGTCCAGGAAAATGGGGAGTGTGGTAAAGAGATGAAGAAGAGAGTCCAGGCAGGATGGAGTGGATGGAGAAAAGTTTCAGGAGTGATTTGTGACAAAAAGGTGTCAGCAAAGGTCAAAGGAAAAGTTTACAAGACTGGTGAGACCAGCTTTATTGTATGGTCTGGAGACAGAGACATGGACAAAAAGACAGGAGAAAGAACTGGAAGTGTCAGAAAGGAAGATGTTGAGGTTCTCCTTAGGAGTGACAAGGATGGAGATTAGGAATGAGATCATCAGAGGTACAGCACAGGTTGAACAACTGGGAGATAAAGTTAGAGAGACCAGACTGAGATGGTTTGGACATGTCCAGAGGAGGGACAGTGGTTTGGACATGTCCAGAGGAGGGACAGTTGGTATATTGGTAGAAGGATGTTAGAAATGCAGCTGCAGGAAAAGGCCAAAGTGGAGATATATGGATGCATGCAGAGAGGACATGGAGGTAGTTGGAGAGGACAGAGTGAGATGGAGGAGGATGACTCACTGTGGAGACCCCTGAAGAGGGAAAAGCTGGAAGAAGCCAAAGAAGAAGTGTCTGCCAGTATTCCACTGTCAGCTGGCTTAGAATGTGTTCCACACTTTATGAATGTTAATCCAAAAAACGGTTAAAAAACAAAAACAACTGGACTTTTATTCTGAAGCTGAAGACGTTCCACTTCCCATCTGAGAGGTTTCATCCATTATCTTTTACCTGCTTCTTCCTTTTTTGGGTCGCGGGGGTACTGGTGGTCTAGCTATCACTGTGTGAGAGGTGGGGGACACCCTGGACAGGTCTCCAGTCCATCACAGGGACACATGGAGACAAACAAGACAAACAACCATTCACTCTCTCTCTCACCTAGAGACAATTTAGAGTTACCAGTTTGTCCAACATGCATGTTTTTGTTCTGTGGGAGGAAACTCATGTACCAGGAGAAAACCCACACATGCACAGAGAGAACATGCAAACTCCATCCAGAAAGGTCCCGGGCCGGGATTTGATCTGACGACCTTCTCGCTGAGAGGCAGCAGCTCTACCAACTGATCCACCGTGTTGCCTGGGAGGTTTCATCAGTTGAAAAATGTTTGAATTGATGAAGCCTCCAAGTCAAAGCCAACCCACCCCATATGCTCCTTTGTGGTGTGCAGTGAGGTAGTAACAGAGGTGAAACAGTTGAGCCAGCACCGTAACTCAGTAATGTGATGAGGTGATGTGTGGGATGTTGTCAGCTCCATCTGCGGTTTATGAATTAGAGGCAACATAAAGACGCAATGGTCTGTACGGCCAATTCATGAAAAGGTCCTAAACCTTTATCAGTGCACAGTATGCATCTCTCAAGGTATGCAAGCATTTAGCTGTTTATGTTTTAGTTACGTTTCCAAAGAGGAGCTTCTCTTAGATGAACCTGTCTATGTGTTGAGCTCAGGCTTCCTCTGCTCCTGGTCTGTAAATTATTCACAGGTCCTCTCAGCGGCGGTGTGTGGTGTCACTGTGACCTGACCATCCGTACGTGATGTGTTTCAAACTGCAGAGTGATACCATGGACTCGTCTCTCTGTGTGCCCTGAGCTGACACACAGACCTGATTTATTCAGAACACTGCTCACAGCTGGAAGCCTCAGAGTCCTAACGTTACACACACGTCTCAGAGTCTGATGTGATGCCTCTCACTGTTCACAGGTGACCAGGAGGCACCAACAGGTTCTGTACTCTGTAGCAAGAACACTCCCTTTGGCAGTAATTATTGGACTTTGAGTACTCGTTTTTATCTTTATTTCTAAAGTATACTCCAGCTAACTAAATCAGAAACATGGGGGCAGCTGCCAAGTTGGGTACAAATTTGTCCGAGGTGGGTACGATGTGTGCGGAGGTAACGTGCACAGCCTGGAGGACAGTTTAACAAGTACTGCATATGAAAATAGGCAGAGATTAGGGCTGTGCAGTTTATAAAATCTGTGGTTGATTTTGATATTTGATCCAAACGATCACAAAAATGGACCAAAAACAGAAATGATCTGACATTTAACACCAAACATTAGATCTGTAACAACAAACCAACAAGAATTGTTCCTTTATGTTCTGTCAGTTCCTGATGGCTGAAGCTGCTGGAGGAAATATGTGACTCCCCCAACAGTCGGATCAAAAAGAGCTGTGGGACCAGATAATCTGCTGAAAATAATAATCCAACTACAGCCGTTCAGGTGAAACACTTCAAAAACGCTGTTAAGAAATAAACAACTTAACCTGACACACTGCAGCGCACGGCCCCACAGTTAATGCTGGTCCAGTCTGAGACCCAAGCCATCCATGGCCTGGTTCTGGACAGAACTTCTTCTTTCTGCTGCTCCCTCTTCAGGGGTCGCCACGATGAGTCATCGTTCTGAACAGGGCTGAACGATTTGGGAAATATTCTGATTGCGATTTTTTTCTTTTACCTCAATATTGTGATTTAATATGTGATTATTTTTCAAAGTCTTCTCGTATTTTTCAACGAACACGAGCAATAAAACTGTGTCCGTTGCAAAAAACTCCACTGTTTTCAGCTCCGCTGCAACTGTTTCTGTATTTTTGTATAGCTCCATAGCAACTTGACTGAAATGTGTGTGTGACGGCGTTCTGTACCGCTTATCCACTGTGTTTACCACAGCTGTGAACCCAGGCCTGGTCGTTGTATTAATGGACATCATGTCTTTCACTATGAACTCTGTTATTGCTCGAGTTATTTCCACGTGCAGTTTTGAATTATGTTCATTCAGAGTAAAACCTTCGAACAGTCCGGTCAGTGGTTCCTGTCGGCTGCTGCTTTGCTTACTTGAAGTTGGAGCGCTGGCCGTTGACATTCTAGCCGTGCAGCTATCGTAAATGTCTTTGTGGTGTTTTGTAAGTGTTGGTAAAGATTTGTGGTGTTACCTCGAGAGGTAGCAACAGCAGCAAGGCAGGTTCTGCACAATACATGTCGCTGTGCTGCGTCTTCTTTTAATATAATTCCAAACAACGGACGTGCTGCACCTCTTTGGTACCAAACTTCCAGATGTGTCGGCTTCTGTCGAGCCTGACGCCATCGTGCAACTGGTTAAAACGCTGTGTTGACTTCTCCCGCTCCCTGCTCCGCTCCGTTCAATCACGTGACCAGATCACATGACCAGTCAAATCTCAGCCTTTAAAAAATCTCGTTCTATCATATCGCAATATTATTGCAAAGTTCTGAACAGAACTGTACAACATCCATTTTAATTAAACATTAATTTAATTAAAACATGTAGTTTAATTGATGGGCTGATTGTGAAGCAGCGGCCATGACGGGTCATAATGACGACATAATGATGAAGTATTATGGTCTGTTTGATTATATGTGTCTGATGTTTGTCACATTTCTTACAGTTCGACAGGATGAGCTGCAGCGTTTATGTTAAATTAACGTCTCCCTGTTGATCTTTGGTTGTATATTGTATAGCAGAACTGTATTACATCTGTTGATGCACCCCCCCCCCCCCCTTTCTGAAACTTGCACTTAATGTCATAAAACCCTTTTAGATTGGTTGTTTATTAAGTTTAGATGATGGTTGTGTTTAGATGAGCTGAAACTCTTCAGTGAAGTGAAACGGTCCTTTTTATTTTTTTCATGTTTGATGTAAAAGAGTCAAATTTAAGCCCGTGACGGATCGTACGTTTGAAAACAACTTGTGTTGAAGGTTTTCACAGCCACCAACGTGTCGGTGCTCCTCTTCCTCCTGCAGCTCTCCAGTGTTACTGCGACCGCTGCAGCGCCAACTCCAGCTGCACCACGGATGGCGTCTGCTACGTGGCCATCAGGAAGACGGGCAGCCAGGTGACCATCGAGAGGCGCCAGTGCATACCTAGGAGAGAGCTGATACCACAAGACCGGCCCTTTGCCTGCGCCCCGTCTGTCAAACAGGACTCTGCCATGTACCCCACGTGCTGCATGAAGGACTACTGCAACAAAGATCCAGATGTGGACACCATCCCAAGTAAGAACGCACACTTGACTGGCTGTACGGTCACGACACAACTCGAGGTTCACGTGCTGAAGGAGGCGGCTTCCCATCAGAGTCTGTGTTCGTTAAAGGGCATCACGCTACCAAAAACTAAACCTCAGAGTTTATTGTATGTGTGAAAGTCAGGCTGCAGGGCAGCAGCAAAGTGCTGGTTTGTTTTTCCTAAATCTGTGTTTTTGTAGACGCTTCATAAATAAAATCCATCAGTAGCAGGCCGTTAAGACTTTATGAGTCCAGATCTTTTCAGGGACTTGTTACGAGTTTGTGGCGTTCAGCGCGTCTTTGTCTTCCGTCAAAACTGGGGGATGTTTTTCTATAGCAACCGAAGGAGACATTGAACATTTCAAAACGATTTTCATTTATTCTACAAAACAGATTTAAAACTGTTTGCATCAAATATTTACTCAGGTGAACATGTATTTACAGTCAAATCCTCGTAAATAAGTGTACTGTACACACAAATACAGATTATTATCTTTAAAGCTGTTCTGGGTAGTGGTTCTTCCGACTGGTGCTACAGTGTTGTAGGCTACTGAACGAAAACTACAAAATGGCGGCGCCTGTTTGAAGTATTTTTTCGTAAACTTTTTTTTTATCCCGTACGTCCCAGTCACGTGAATATTATTAAAGTTGACAATCGTTGAAAAAACCGTGAAAGAGCGAGTTCACGAAAGTCGAACCGCGAAGTAACGAGGGACTACTGTAATCTCAAAATGTTAATCTCAGTCCGTTCACAGATTAGTGCAATCTCAAGGCACAAATAAAATTACATGATGATAGAAAGATGATAATAAATAAAAGTAATGAGTTAATATTTAACTCATCAGAGGAGATTAAGCTACAGTCTACGTTTCACTAGAGTTTATTTTTTATCAGTCGTAGACTTGGTTAGTTCATGAACCACTCAGTGGATTAGTCTTAGACCATCCACCTGCAGCAGCAGGTTGGCTGTAGCATCAGCTGCAGTGCCAGTGCTAGCTAACACGTTTTATGTTTAAATAATACCTTAAACTGGACGTACTGTGATGAGAAAATGACTTTAAACATGACTTGTTCTTCTTCATGCTACCATCTGATGTTTCTGAAGGTCTCACCGTACTAACAAAAGCAGAGCGCTCTTCTTGTCCTCTACAGCTGTTTGCCAAACAACTGGAGCTCTGTGAGGCCGGACAACAGACTTTAGGATCGTTACTGCCCCCTACAGGCCTGGAGAGGCAGCAGCAGCGTCTTGTAATCATTGTGTCGTAACCAGGGGCGCAACTACATATTTTTGAGGTGGATGCGAACACATCATCGGCGCCCCCCCCACCCACTCCTTTTTACTTGCCGCCTCATACAGCTTAGTCATGCACTTAGAAAATACAGTAGTAATATTACAGATTTTTTTAATGTTACATATTATATCAGGTGATCATTTCAATCATAAACAAATAAGAAGTTTTATAAAGTACAAATATATAACAGTAGTGGTACTCAGTCAGTGCTCAACATTTTATGTAGCGGAAATATGACATCTTAACAGCCTGGAGTCCATGTCAGAGTTTTAACATTTATGACATTTAAACTGTTACATTCCGTGACTTTGCATTTGCCCATTTGTCAAGTATAACATCAAATGAAATAGACCGTGCCACACTGTTTTCAATAGAGATCACTGCTAACTGGGACAAGCGATCATTGCTCATATTTGAACGAAGGTATGTTTTGATGAGCTTCAGCTTGCTAAATGATCTCTCTGCAGATGCAACTGTCAGAGGCATGGTTAAAAATACTCTAAGGGCTACTGTCAAATTTGGAAATACCAAATCAAGGTCCTCTTGAATTAGGAAATTTAACTTTTCTAGAGCCTTGTAACCCTTCAGTAGACGGCTTGCTGGGTATATTTCTTGAATGATATCTCTTGAAACATCACAAGTGGTCAGGGCATATGTGGTCACTGATTCCTCCAGCTCAGCTTTTGTCATGTGCTCCATTTTAGTGATGAATTTAAATTTCTCAGACACAAGTTGAAAATTGGAAAACCTCTCAGACAGCTCTTGGAGGAGTGTGTCAACAATAACATTGAAAACCATGCACCTGAAGTGCCTTGTGGGTTCCTTTTCATGATGACCAGTGCATGAATTGTCATCTGGGAAATTCTTTTGCTTCCTAAGTCGTTTCTCTTTGAACTTAGGAGAAGCATCCATTTCGATGGCTATTTTGCTTGCAATGTCAAGTGACTTCTGAAAGCCCTCTTCTCTATATTTGAGCAAAAACTCTTTCAGAGACTCGATTAGCCTAATGGCTGTGTCCATTGACACATCTGCTGCTTGTAGTGCCTTGCTTGCAAAGTTGATCTCACATAATAAGGCATACCAAATAATGAGGCACACAAGGAACTCCATACTGACAATCTCATCAGATAGTGATTTTGCCTCTGAGACAATCTTGCTGTCTCCTGCCACTTCTCCAAGCTTTTGTAGTGCATCTAAAATTCCCCCCATCTGGAAACGTATAGCTTTGACAGAGTCTAGCTTTGCCTCCCACCGGGTGTCACTCAGAGGCTTCAGTGTGATGTCGACAAACTCTGTGAGAATGTCCCACCTCTTCACAGAAGACGAAAAGATTGTGTACAATCTTTGAACAGTGCCAAAAAAAGTGAGACACTCTCTGCTAGATGAGGCTGCATCACATAACAAAAGGTTCAGGCTGTGGCTGCAGCAGGGGATGAATAAAGCCTCTGGACATCTCTGTTGTATTAAAGCTTGAACACCCTTGTTTATTCCCCTCATATTAGAGCCATTGTCATAACTTTGCCCTCTACAATTAGCCAAATCCAACCCCAGACTCTCCAGAACCCCTGTTAGTGTATCTGTGAGGCCTTTCCCAGTTGTGTCCTTCACAGCAGTGAACCCCACAAAAGACTCTGCAATAGTGACTTTTTTCTTCTCATCAGTATCAATATATCGAATAATGACTGAGGCCTGCTCTTGCTTTGAAATATCAGGTGTGCAGTCCAGTTCCACTGCAAAGTACTTAGAGGCTTTGATCTGGGCAGATATTTTACCCAAAACACACTCTGATATTGAATCTAAAAATTCATTCTGAGTGCACCATGTCAGATATCCAGTGGTTTGTTTGGAGGCTGCCTTTCTAAGATGTTCTGCCAGTGTGACATCATATCGTGCAATGAGCTCAAGGATTCCCAGAAAATTTCCATTTTTAGGATTTCCTAACTGAGAATTTTTCCCCCTTAGTGGCAAGTTTCTCTCTGCAAGGAAGAGTATGCAGTCAATAACTCGAGTCAACACACTTCTCCAGTATGCTTTTTCAGCTGCCATGGTTCTCTGCAGTTCACTATCAATAGTCTTACCTAGGCGTAAGCGAGATATCATTTCTTTCCACATCAGATAAGCATTTATGTGAGAACTACTGGTTTCATGGTGCTTCAGTGTTTTTGAAAGACATCGCCAGTTACTGTACCCTGCCACAAGGCATGTATCAGAAACTTTAGCTTCACCAAAAAGCTTACACGCAAAACAATAGACTCTGCTGGTATTTTTGGAATACAGTAACCAATCTCGTTCAACTTTCTCTCCATTAGACAGTATACGAAAACAGTACGCTTTGGAAAAACACCTCTTATTCTTCTCTGATCTTGGATATGGACCATCAGAAACTTTCTGTGGGCCATTTTCAACCATGTACTGCCTAAATGTGTCCCCCATTTTGTGTGGTAAAGGCCATTCGGATGGATCTTCTGAATAAAGCCTTGCCTCAGCCCTCTCCTCTGCAGCTCTGTACTTCTCTCCCTCTACATCATCATCTGGACCTCTCTGCTCCTCTCCCTCTTCATCATCTGGACCTCTCTGCTCCTCTCCCTCTTCATCATCTGGACCTCTCTGCTCCTCTCTCTCTTCATCATCTGGTCCTCTCTGCTCCTCTCCCTCTTCATCATCTGGTCCTCTCTGCTTTGTGATGATTAACTCACCATGTCTGCCTGAACTAATTTTCCCAAAAAAGAGGACAATGAAATATGGTCATCAGAAATTAAAACCATCATGGTATATAGGTTTTTGTTGCCTCCCTAATGTAATTATTCCTACCTGATGTCATCACTTGTCTCCTCTATCACTGACCTCGTGTCTGTCTCCTTCACCTTTTGTCTGTGGCATTCTGCACTAAGTCATAAGGTCAAAAAAGCATTATATATTAGTTGTAAAAATGACAGATCTTAATACAGTTTTTAAAAATAATGTTTACACGTTATTGCTTGGGATTAAGTAACTGTTCCCTCACTTCCACCTGCATTAGACCAACCTGTTGCCTTCCCCAGTCTGTCCTGATTCTTCCTCTGTCATCTTCTCTTCCTTCTCTCCATCCTCACAGCTGAATGACATTAATTTTGTGTCAAGTAGGTTTAAAAATACAGCAGTCAAACCACAATAGAAATGAAACTTGAATTTAAATGATCTCCTTGTTGGATAACAGTTACTGACTGGACATTTCATCTGATCTGACTCACCAGATACATCACAACACACACCACTGTAGTGATACTGAATAAGACATTTAAACTCAAGTGTCCCTCTGCCAAAAAGGTTGGAAACATGGGTCACCAACCTTTTTGAGCTATAGTGACACTGAGGACTAATTTATCTGATACACACATAAACTTGTACAACTCATCTTTAATTAAAGAATCAATAATAATAAATGTACATATGAGTGAATAAATTGCAGCACTGAGGGCTAAGCGTTGGATCATAGCTGGGAACTGCCGCCACAACAGTTTAGCTTTCCTGTGTTAATATTTCATGAGTTTTATTTTGGTCATTCTTACACTTAGTGTGTGGATATGTGTGTGTGACAGGCGAGGCGCATGTATCAAATATTCATAAAAATACAGAAAATACTAAACAAATCACATCAATAGGGGAGGCAACATTTAACAGCCAACCGCAGTGTATTAGGCTAGCTTTAGCTAACCTGAATATTTAAACCCTCCTGTCCTGCTAATACACTGACAGTACTTACCTACTATCTTTCAACCACATTGAAAGGCTTTTTTTCATCCCGCCAACATCTTTATCCTTCTCCCTTTTCCTTTTTCTGTTTTGCGCCCCGGATAGCTTTTTTTTCTGCCGCTCCATCTTGTTGTCAAGTGCACAACGAGCGGTAGTTCAAGATAAAAAAAAAAAAAAAAACGCGCCGAGTGCGTTCTCTTAGGGGCGTGTTCACAGCCACCTGTGTGGGAAGGGAGAGCGATAGGAGGGGAGGTGAAGGAGCAGAGGGGAGGTGAAGCAGCAGAGGGGAGGTGAAGGAGCAGAGGGGAGGTGAAGGAGCAGAGGGGCGCCTAATCAGTGCTGTTCCCCTGTTATTGATCATTTAGAAAATGCCTACTAGAAAAACATTTTTTCTACTGAGGGTTTTGACGCCCCCTGCAGTGCAGCGCCCCTATGCGTTGCATACGCTGCATACCCGCTTTTTGCGCCACTGGTCGTAACTAACGTGGCCATATATTATAATTAATATGATCTATGAAGATGACCACACACACACGTCACACAATTTTAACAAATGTCTTTTGTGTTGAGTTAAATTAAGTCTTGTACAAACTTTAATGAAGAAGAAAGCATAAAAATGTAAACTAAACACTGAATAACTGCACATTTTGACTTCTGTTATGGCTTTAAAGGGCTCGTTGACCCAGTTGTAATCAGGGTCTGTGCAGCTGAAAGCTAAAGCTAACTGTCCACTGCAGCACTTAGCTTTAGCTCATACAAACCAGTGTGAAGGCAGGAGTCGACTCTTGGTTTGTTGATCCGTCAGGGTTCAGACATCACCCCCAAGGCCTTAATAAAACCTGAAGTAAGAGCTCCATTTTTTAAAAACTCTTTTTAAACAGACTTTTCCTCTCTAGTATTTTGTTCTGTTTTGTTTTCAGATATTTAAAGCAAATGGTTTTTCACTGAATAAATGAAAATTATTTTGAAATCTGTGTCTTTCTGCTGCTGGAGATAAATACCACGCAGCGTTCGCAGAAGACCGTCACAGAGGTGTGCCGAGCTGCTTCATCCCTTCAGCTTCACACTAACTCGTGACATGGCCTGAAAAGAACTCTAAATGTTTCTAAATGTGTTTCTGATGGATGTCGTTCCTGCAGTGTGTGCAGAAAATATAAAAAGTCCAAACTGAAGAGAACTCTGCCCAGCACCGCTGAGAACAGCAGCAACATCATTCAAATGAGCTTAGCTGGCGTTTATTCTATAGTTTACACTTAATATTTTATAGAAACTCAACCAGCTGCCTGTCTGTTTTAGAGCTGGCGCTGTTTTAAAACGAGATTTAATTTTGATCTTTAAACGGCGGGCGCAAATTAAATTTTAAAGTAATTATAAGTTCATGGTGGGGAACACCTTCATACAAACCACAAGTGGATCAGAACCGTTTCTCTGTTTAAACTCAAATATACAGTAGTCCCTCGATTATCGTGGGGTTGTTTACGTTCCAGACACCCCCACCCCCCCACCCGCAATGAGTGAAATTCAACGAAGTAGCGACATTATATTTATTTTAGTCTTTATATATATTTTAAGTCTTTATAAACTATCCTGATGCATGCTCTTTATAAACTCTTCACACACTTTTGCAATGTTCTAAACTCTTAAACCTACTAATTTTAACCACATACATGCAGTATATGTACTGCACAGTACTGCAAACTTTTATATGCGACTCACCAGCCTTGGTCCGGTTCTGATCGGATGAAAAAAGTCCGGAGAAAACACCGGACCTCCATGCAACGTCTCCCCGCTCGAGAGGCTTCCTGGGCCGACAAGCAGCGCTTAGACTGACCGATGAGTTCTGGTCCAATTCCCAGTTGGTTCCATACGGCTCTCTGCATCCACTGAGCACCAAAGTCACTATGAATAAGGACCAAACTTTTTAGTCAGGTTTGGATCGGATCAAAACTTTCCCTCCATTTCATCAGAAAGCAGCGGCTGGAAGCACTGTTGGCTTCTGGGTAATGTACTTCTTTGACTGGCCTTACGGTATATACTTATTGAGAGAAAACTACAAAATGGCGGTGCCCGTCCAAAGCATTTTCTTTTGTTAACTTTTTATTCTGTACCGTCCCAATCACGTGAGTAACATTAAAGTTGACAATCGTTGAAAAACCGTGAAAGTCGAACCGCGAAGTAGCGAGGGACTACTGAAGTCCATAAAATGATTCTGGTGTTTGGAGCTTTAGGACCGAGGTAAAAATACAGAATATTAGCTAAACCAACAGTCTTCTACTAAACAATATGGCTCCAAACAGCAGAGTCATGTAATAAAACTAAATAATGTGAGGTAAGTTCAAATGGGACCATTAAACAGTCGTCAGTTTCCAGTGATGACGAATCGTTATAAATTAGTAAAATCAAACATTTGTCAAACATCCACACAGAGCTGGACCACGTGGAGGACGGACCCTGCTCTTATCAGGACTAGGTTGTATGTTGTAAAACTGGACGGTCAACAGTGTTCTGGACGATGGACACTTCAGTGTGAACAAGAACATACGTAGCTGTTTCCAGCAGAAGACACTGGCTCCTTGTCCTCCTGTTGGACCATGTCTTTATGGTCATGTCCTGGAGCTGGACTGATTAACGTGTCTCTGCTCTGTCCTCTTGTTAGTCTACGTCTTCCTGTCCTCCTTCAGGGTACTGAGTTGCAGTTCTCGGTGGTTTTGGTGTTTCCATGATGGTTTTGTGCAGCCTGACTCAGCATGTTAACTTGTCGTAGACCAGAAACCCCCCCCCCCCCCCCACCCCAGCTGGATTCATCAGTTTTCTGCATCTTCCTGACCCTTCAGCTTCTGTTTACAGGTTGATCCCAGATCCACGAGGATCACAGGTTTGAAATGTCTGTATTGTTTTTGGCTTTGTCCAGAAGACCCCCCAGCCACCCACCCTCCTCTGGGCCCTGTGGCCCTTGCGGCGGTGATTGCGTGCCCAGTGTGTGTGTTCTGCCTGCTGCTGGTGCTGGCCTTCTACATATGTCACAACCAAAGAGGTCTGGGGGCTGGAGGGGCTGGGGCCCTCCACCACCGAGTGCCCAGTGAAGAGGACCCCTCCATGGACCACCCCTTCATCAACGTTGGAACCACCCTCAAAGACCTCATTTACGACATGACCACCTCAGGCTCTGGATCAGGTACTGTTCTGCGTGGTTGTATGAATGTTTCTATCGTCAGCCTTTTTTCTGTGTCCCAGAACAAAGAGGTCTGGGTTACTGAGCAGAGCTCTTTGAAAACCCAACACAAAAAAAACAGTTTTATAAAATCAAAAACAGCTGAGTTGAAGGCCCTCACCTTTTGTTTACATCAAGCTGCATCAGTTTCAATTCACTTTGAATTCAGTTTATTTCTATAGCGCCAAATCACAAGAGAAGTTGTCTCAGGGCACTGAACAGAAACATGCAAATACATAAAAAGTCAGTTTTTAAAGTTCTGTATCTAAGGAAGAAAGCAGCAGACTCGTTTAATCTTCACTCCATCACAGTCTCCCATTCTGAGCAAGCACAAAGGAGACAGTGGAAAGGGAAAAACTCTTTTAAGAGGAAGAAACCTCCAGCAGAACCAGGCTCAGGACAAGCGGCCATCTGCTTCAACCGGCTGGTTTGAGAGGAACAGGACGTAGAAACAGACGAACACAGAATGACAGGTCCAGATGTTGGTGCAGGTGAACCTGAAAGACAAAAACATGTCAAGGACAGAACAATAATCACAGCAGAGTAAGTAAAGACAGTAGCATAGTGAAGAAATGTGGTCAGTTTGTCCTCCAGCAGTCTAAGCCCATAGCAGCATAACTAAGGGACAGCTCAGGAAACCCAAACCAATCCTAACTATAGGATTTATCAAAAAGGAAAGTCTTAAACCCAGTTTTAAAACTGAACAATGTGTCAGCCTCATGGACAGAAACTGGAAGTTGGTTCCACAAGAGAGGAGCCTGATAACTGGAAGATCTTCCTCCCATTCTGCTTTTGGAAACTCTAGGAACCACGAGTAAACCTGCAGTCTGAGAGTGAAGTCCTCTGTTGGAAAAATATGAAACAATAAGATCTGTAATATAAGATGGAACTAGGATGTTGAGGGCTTTGTAGGTTAGAAGTAAGATTTGAATTCTATTCAGGAGTAGACAGGGAGCCAATGGAGAGAAGCTAAAACTGGAAATATATAATCTCTCCCAGTAACTCCAGTTAAGACTCTGGCAGCAGCATTTTGGATCAACTGAAGACATTTTAAAGAAGTATTTAGACACCCAGATAATAAACCATTGCAATAGTCCAGTCTAGACGTGACAAAAGCATGGACCAGTTTTTCTGCAGCAGACAGTCTGTTGACTAATTTATCAAAAGTTAAACCTACTTTTAACAAAGATTTATTTATTTTTCAAGTTGTATACACAGTGTGAACAGGTTTTGAGTATGTTGGCCTGGTTTCATGTTTGTAGTTTATAACTGGAGGAAATAAGGACTCAGTAACTGGAGGCCCTGCTGATCTACTCAGTCTGCTGAGGTTTGATTAGAGGATACGACGGCACAGACGGCAGTGTTGGAAACACAAACGTCCACTCTGGACTCGCTCCAACCATCTTTACTTTTCCTTTAAAACAACGTAAAATATTTATCTCACACTGTTCGGTTTTTAGTTCATACATGTTAAATAAGAGCATACTTCATCCATCAGCACTGTCAGGAGCTTCTCTGTTCACCAGGCTTAAATTAGCACCGCACCATGATACTGGCCCCTCCGTGCTGCTAAGGGCTTACATGTTGCTCCTACGGTTCTTCTCCGTCAGAGCTCAACAACCAGTCAGCTCAGAGAAGCTTTGTCAGCCATTAAAGTAAGAAGCCTTGGGCTGATGCTGCTCTGTGTTGGACTGGTTTCCAGGACTGAGGAAGCTTCTGTCTGTGCTGCATGAGCAAACGTGGCCCGTCTCGCAGCAGTGGACCATGAACGTTCACGTGGAGGTGTTGCTGCAGGTTACTGACAGGGTTCAGGTGCAGCTCCTGTCTCCTCTGAGCATCAGAGGATTTGTCCTGCAGCAGATGCTTTCAAACCTCGAGGCATGCCCTGTACGAGGACGAGGCCTTTGCAAGCCCTCTGCAGGGTCGGCCCACACCTGGTTCCTGCAGGTCTTGATACCTGCTCATACTGTTTGTAGATGTCCGATGACTTCCTTTGGTCTGGGTCAGGCCTGAGGTGTAACAGCAGGGCTTCGTGGATGCAGATGATGGAGTTCTGTCTGATCTGCTTGTTTTGGATTGTCTTTGTTTCAGAATCCACCACTTACTTTAGATGATTTGTGTTGTGATGTAAACTTCTGAGGTGCTGGGTCACTTTGAATGCCTATCCAGTCCCTGTAGAACCAAAGCAAGGGTCAAGCATCTGAAGAACCTAGACGTGATGTTGTCTGATGCAGTTTCTATCAGGGAGGGTCTCCACTGACAAACTGATTCTGAGAAAGTTCAAGGAGAGTCCTGAGGAGACCTGCTGGGTTTTCTTTCATCTAGAAATGACAAAGTGTCATGCTTTTAATGGATCATTCACACTTTTTTGCAGCATTTCACATAAACATCACGCAGGAAACTGGAAATAAATGTAAAAGTATTTTTTTAAGGACTCGCAGGTTAATTTTCTGATCAAGAATGAAAGTTGTTGGCGTTTGGCACACAGCTGACTTTTTAACCAACTTCTTGGTTGTCGGATGTTTCCAGGTCTGCCGCTGCTCGTCCAGAGGACCATAGCCAGAACCATCATCCTGCAGGAGAGCATCGGGAAGGGGCGTTTTGGTGAAGTGTGGCGGGGGAAGTGGCGCGGGGAGGAGGTCGCCGTCAAGATTTTCTCTTCTCGAGAGGAGCGCTCCTGGTTCCGGGAGGCAGAGATTTACCAGACAGTGATGCTGAGGCACGAGAACATTCTGGGCTTCATCGCTGCTGACAATAAAGGTGAGATAAAACACCTCCTGGAGCTCCAAGAGGAGATGGGTGCACACATATCTGCACAAGAACTCTCTAGGAGCATAATATCTGCAGTAAATGAAGTGTTCAATAGCAGACTATTTAAAATGCTATCATCAGAAGGTCAGGAAGATAATAATTTAGCCAAGTGATGTGAACTCCCTGCTGGCTGGTCTGATCATCTTTATGTCAGTGTGGGAGGCTGTGATTACAGGAAAGCTTGAGCTCTTCAATCAGCTAGCAGCTCTGAGCCTTTATTTAGAACGGGCTAGCTGCAAGACACTGTGGGGGCGTGTTTACAGTGAGGAGCAGACATTAACACACACACATCGCACTCGTAGTCTGAGGGAGGCAGCCCCGTCACACACAGGAGCTTTAACATGTCAGTAAAATACAACAGATACTAACACGTATAACTCAGAAGAGCCCCCACTTGTGGTCGTTTTCCCTTTTTGTCCTTCATCGCTGGGCAAAGTGGGGACTTGGACATACTCTTAGTCCGGTTCATATTGTGAGCGTAACTTGAAAAATAAGCAACATGCTGACTTCCAGTTTGGTGTGTGATTGTATCCAAGTGTAAGAAAGGTTCCTATTGAAAATTGGGTTGCCAAGCTTATAATCCAAGATGGCTGCCATATGTAAACTGGCCACTCCTATCATTTGAAGAAACTGTGCTTTCTAGTTTTTATATTGTTTAAAAGTATAGTTTGCTCAAATGATTGGTGTGGTCTAAGGTTAATCTGTGGGGGCCAAGGCCACCACTGGCCACTAGAGCTGTCATTTCTAACCTGAACCCGGAGCCCGGCCCCGCCCGACCTGGATTCAGACCGGGCTGGTCCATAATAATGTGCTTAATGTGTGGACCGGTTCAGTGTTGAGCTTTTGATTGAGTCAGCGTGCAAATGACCGGCCTTGAAAAAGGTAAAAAGTTCAGTTAAGCTTCAGATGGACTACTGCCAGCGATCCATCGCCCAGATGGACGTTGTAATTACTGTTAATTTGTCAGATTGGGTGGGGTTCGAAAATTATGGCTACGGGCTGGGGCCGGGTCAGATTTTTTGGACCCGAATGAAACTCTACTGGCCACCCTCCCATGGCTCCTCCATTGATCCTGGTGGTGGATAAATGTCTTCCTCCTCTCACCAGGATCCATCCCTCTGTTCTGCCTCAGACAAGAAAAGACAAACCTCCCTCTGTTCTTCTGCAGTGTAACTCCTGCCCACTGGAACAACTTGTACCAGAAACATTTAGGTTTACTTAGAATTTTTTTTATTAAATTCTAGTCCAGAAAAACGTTCATCTCCAAAACTCCAAACGTTCATCCCTGGGACATCATTGTACCACTGGTGGATGAACCTCAGTATTCAGCACAAGTAGCCATGTTTTCTGTCCTCCTGTGTGTAGATAACGGGACGTGGACTCAGCTGTGGCTGGTGTCGGACTACCACGAACACGGCTCCCTGTTCGACTACCTAAACCGCTACACTGTGACCGTGGAGGGCATGATCAAACTGTCCCTGTCCACAGCCAGTGGCCTGGCCCACCTGCACATGGAGATCGTTGGAACACAAGGTAAGAGCCACAGGCTGCTTCCCATCATCTCTGAGGCTGAGTTAACCCAGGCGGACATGGCATTCAGACAGAGGACGTTGTTCGTGAGTTTTCTGTGCTGACTGTGTGACTCTGCAGGAAAGCCAGCGATTGCACACAGAGACCTGAAGTCAAAGAATATTCTGGTTAAGAAAAACGGGACCTGCTGCATCGCCGACCTGGGCCTGGCTGTTCGCCATGACTCTGCCACCGACACGATCGACATCGCTCCAAATCACAGAGTGGGAACCAAAAGGTACCGCAGCTGAGGCCTTCACAAACACCAAGTCTGGGACTAACTCTGTCCTGACACTTGTGTAAATGGACTGTACTTATATAGCGCCTTTCTATCTGATCAAGATACTCAAAGCGCTTTACAACAATCTGTGCCTTATTTACCCATTCATACAGCTCTCTACTAGATCTCTACAAAGCTAATTGAACAAATCATTCTAAAGAGACTAATCAGAGCTTTATCACATTCATACACTGATGGGACACACATCAGAGGCAACGAGGGGTTCAGTGTCTTGCCCAGGGACAATTTGGCATGTGACTGCTGGTGGATTCGAACCACCAACTCTTGCATTGGAGGACGACTGCTCTAACCACTCAGGCACAGCCGCCCTGTGTGTCATTGAAGTAACGTATTTCTGCTCCAGGACTTAAATTTAGTTTCAACAGGACTTGGTCTCTGCTCCTGACAGCTTTGCAGCTCAGGCTCATCTCCATCTTCTTACTGTAGTCGGATCGTGGAGGCAACGGATCCAGGAGAAAATCCAGACATCCCTCTCCCGAGACACTTCTCAGCTTGTTCTAGGGGACCTGAGACCTCCCCAGGCCAGAGAAGATGCACCATCCCTCCAGCAACTTCTGGGTCTTCCCCAGGACCTCCTACCAGTGAGACATGCTCAGAAAACCTGTAAAGGGAGGTGTCCAGGAGGCATCCTAATGAGATGAACCTCCTCAACTGACTCCTTCGGATGCAGAGACGCTCCCCCCAGATGAAGGAGCTCATCACCCTGTCTCTAAGGCCGGACACCCTACGAAGGAAGCCCATTTTGGCTGCTTGTATCTGCGATCTCATTCTTTCAGTCATGATCCAAACCTCATGACCATAGTTCTTGTTCCATCAAACATCTGTGCAGCTGAAAACACTCAACAAGCTCCCGACAGCCCAAACAAACCTCTGAGCAGCTGGTCTTCAGAGCTCTGAAGCCTTGACTGCCTGAAACATTCAGTGTCTACAGACGAGAATCTCTTGCATCAGTGTTTCCTGAAGTTACACACATACGTGATAATAATTTGTATATATGGTAATATATAGACCCATTCTTTGTGCCCCCTCCCAGGTATATGGCTCCAGAGGTCCTGGATGACTCCATAAACATGAAACACTTCGAGTCCTTCAAACGAGCAGACATATATGCCATGGGCCTGGTGTTCTGGGAGATCTCCAGCCGCTGCTCTGTGGGGGGTGAGGATCCAAGGCTGAATGGACCACCAGGGGAGGGTTGGTGCAGGAAGCCTTCTCATCTCTTGTTTTTCTGTCAGGCATTCACGAGGACTACCAGCTGCCCTACTTTGACCTGGTCCAGTCCGATCCATCGGTGGAGGAAATGAGGAAGGTGGTGTGTGAGCAGAAGCTTCGGCCGAACATCCCCAACCGCTGGCAGAGCTGTGAGGTGAGACAGGCTGCTCTGACGGAGCTGCTCTAACTCCTGTGAAGTAACGATTTGTTCATGTAAGACCTCCATCAGGACGGTCAGGTTCTTTCAAAACTGAATCGTCCATAAATCACCAGAGGCCTCATGTAGCACAGAGAGCAGCTGTTCTACTGAAAGTTGGTGGAAGGACCAAATTGGAAAACAAAGTACACAGAGATATTCAGATTGATCAAATTGTGCACATGCATGTTTCTGTGCTCCTTTCCTTCAAACCCCCTGATAAACATGGACCTGAGACTCCTCCCCCGACATGCCTCAGTTTACAGTAAGGATGTAAATCTGTGCTGCAACGTGTAACTCTCCTCTCTGCACCATCAAAAATGACGTCTAGATGTAGGAAACTTTAGGATTTTATGGACTGACAGACAAAGATGCTCCTAAATCAAATAAAAATGGCGTGCACAAACAGCAGTGATGGTGTGTGCAGCTCAGAGCGCACTGCAGAAGTAATAAAAAGATGAAATGTTCAGACAGAAAGGTGGGAGGAAAGAGAAGGACAGCTTCCCAGCACCTGTCATTCAGTAATGTTACACAACCCTCCCTGTAACGACGTACTAACTTTATGCATACTGTGTACAGAGGCACTCGGGGGGGGGGGGGGGGGATTTATTTTGAAAGAGTACACCAGTCCTTGACCCCCTCCCCTCAGCAAATGGTTTGTTTGCTTGAGAAAATGTTGAAAACTGTAAATGGTAGATGGACTGTACTTATAGATCACCTTTCCATCTTATCAAGACACTCAAAGTACTTTACAATCTGTGCCTCATTTACTCATTCATGCAACACTCTACTAGATCTCTACAGAGACTAATCAGTACTTTATCACATTCATACACTGATGGGTCACACATCAGAGGCTATGAGGGGTTCAGTGTCTTGCCCAGGGACTCTTCAGCATGTGGCTGCTGGTGGACTCGAACCCCCAACTCTTGCATTGGAGGACGACTGCTCTAACCACTCAGCCACAGCCGCCCTACATCACCCCTAAACCACTGGACCTGCAGAGACCAGTGAATAAAGTCCCAGTCTAAGGTTTGAGACCACCTCCACAGAAGTCTATTGAAACGTTTTACTGAACCTCCATCCATCCATCCGTCCATCCATTATCTTTACCCGCTTCTTTCTTTTCGGGTCACTGGTGTCACTGGTGCCCATGTCCAGCCATCACTCCAGTCCATCACAGAGAGACAAACGAGACAAACAACCATTCACTCTCTTGTACTGAACCTGTGAGGAGTTATTTTACTGCTGAAGCTTTTATTGGACTCGTCTGACGAGGTCGGAGGTCAAAACCACGAACACTTTAGATCACCGTTAGGTTTGACCAACAACTGAAGACATGTCACCAAAAGCTGATCAAATGAAAGCTCAGTGCTCCTTAAAGCAGTGGTTCCCAACACTGGTCCTTGAGGAACTCCATCCTGCAGGGTTGGGAACCACTGCCTTAAAGGATGCATCTCTCACCATCCCCAGAGCTTAAGCTAAGATTTTCAACAATCTGTTGGTCGCTTCCTGCAGGGAGTTGTGAATGGTGCAAATTGAACCACTGCAGTTTCACTTCTTTAAATGTGAACCTGTAAGATGATGATGTGATGAGATGACATCATCATCAGGTGTTTCAACTATAATTAGTAGAAGTTAGTGAGCTGTGAGCAGGACAAATGATGCTGATGAAAACAGAACACAGGGCGTGTTCCTTTTTAGTCTGCCGGGCCACGAGCCGGTTAGATGTAATCAGGAGGGGCAGGAAATAGTTTCTCTCTTAAATAGAAGGAGAAAAGTGTTTGCGTCTCCTTATGAGACGACGTGTCGGAGTGACAGAAGTTTATTATGTCTGACATTGATGTGCCCCCCCACCCCACCCGGCTGATACGACCCACCTCACGTTCTGTAAATGCTGTGCAGCTGCTGAATGCTGCAGACACAGGTAACCATGATCCTGGGCTCTTCTTGAAACATTGCTTATAACTGTAAATTAATTTGTTCTTGACGTAAAAAAAAAACATAAAGCTTCCAAACCTTGAAGCTGTGATCACAACTTTCTAACAAAACTGCTGCAAAATCAGACATTTAGGTCACAATAAATTATTTTGAAAGTCTAAAACATCCTGCAGGAGCTGATTAGTGCTCAGAGTGTGTGTCAGGGATGACTGTGCTACTACCACACCAAGTCGCAGTCCAATATTCAGACATTTTTGTTTTTGCCCAGCTGTGTAGTGTTTGTGGCCATCTTAAATCAGGTCGACTTCAAACCTTAATGAATTCTAGATGTAAATTTAGTGATTACTTTCTGAATTTTATTTCAGTGGCTCGGGATATTTTGCTAACAGACGAAGAAACAAACACACAGAGGCAGTTACATGATTGTCAGCCTTTCTTGGTGGATGGTGTTAATGAAGGAAGTCAGTGTTTTAATGCTTCCACTTCTCCCATCATGCAGCTGTCTGCTTTCTTTCCTGTAGAAGAAAGAAGTGACGTGAAGACCCCTTCAGGCTCCACATCATCATGAAATCGGTATCCCTCGATACTTCACGGCTCGACTTTCACAAACTCACTCTTTTACGGGTTTGCAATGTAAAATTGTACACGATTGGCGATGGGGAAGGACAGACCCCACCCCCTCTTTTTTCTTTCTGAGGCTGTTGTGTGTCTCTGCTCTGTTGTGACAGCCTCAGAAAGAGAAAGGAGGGGGTGGGGTTTGTCTTTCCCCATCGCTGCTGCTCAGACAGCAGAGATGAACAGATCAGATGAACACGTAGAATATCAGAGAAAATGCTTAGGTGGAAAAATAAGAGTGAATTATTTTTAAAAAAGAGAGTGGCTGAGCACGGCTCACTGAAGTACAAGACAGACCCCCACCCCCCCCGCTCCTCCTTTCTCTTTCTGAGGAAAAGAAAGGAGGGGCAGGTGGAGGGGGGTGTCTTTTCTTATACCTGAGTGAGCCACAAGTGCGGCATGGATTATTTATTTAAAATGATCGAGCGTGACCCGAACCGAGACTTTAGGAACGAGAATGCTGGCTCCTTCAGGCACGAGGAGACCAGACAGTCTGGCACAGACTGCAGGTGCAGCAGGAGGGAGACTGGGAGTGACACAGATGCACGAGTGTGATTACAGCGGAGACGTGGGCGTGGCAGAGATCATGACGCGCTGTGTTCTTTTAGAACGTTTAGAACATTGCAAGAGTGTGGGAAGGGCTCTCCGGGCGCTTACCTAGCTGCCCACCTGCGTGTCTGGAACATAACCCCTGCAATAAGTGAGGGACTGCTGCACTTTATTTGTTTACAGTCTGACCTGGCCTAGTTTTAAACTATATTGTTAAACAGCTCCTTTGAAGTGAGACCAGCCATGAAAGCATAGAAGCTTGTTCGTGTTCTGATGTGTCTGAGACTCACGCTGCATCCATGAAGCTAAACCTGAAGAAGAGCTCTGGATGAATCGGGCTCTCGGCGTGTTCTCCACCCGCTCCACGACGTGCAGATTGTTGCTGGTGTCTGTGTTTTGTCTGCAGGTAAACATAAGAATGTGCAGACAAACAAAGAGCGTCAGACACAACAAGATCTGCTCAGATACAACACGAGTGGTTTCAAAACACAAACGGGAATCCACACGAGCAGACCAGTTCAACAAGTGGGAACCAGAACGGCTGAAGAAGCTCGTCTGCACAGAGAAGGCCTTCAGTGCAGGAATGAAGAAGTGCCAGACTGGACTCAAGGAGCCACATGGAGGGTGCACCCCCCCCCCCCCCCCAACAATCATAGCATGTAATACATTAACAAACCTCTACATGTTCACATGTGACCACGCGCTGCAACACCCCGATCCATGATCTCCTGAGACACATCTAAACTTTAACTTTGTAATAAATAATGTCTGCAGTGTCGGCACGAGCAGCTACTCATCCAACACATGCACAACAAAGTGCTGCAAGCAGAGAGGGCGCCGCAGGACTGTGCACAGCCTGTTAGGATGTGTCTCTGTGACTCACTGTTTCTGCTGCGCTACTTCTTGGAATCAAACTAGATTAACACTGAAAACATTTATTTTTATATCCAGCATCAATGCACTGATGTTCCTCCTCGTTCCGTCTGTGAGCGTTTGTCTCGCGTGTTGTTCATAAATATCTGCAAACTTCACTCCTAAACTGGATCACAGCTCAAATCAGGGTTTGACTGAAGACTGGCCACAAACACTCAGAACTCAGGAGAGAGCGGGCTGCACATCTTGGATCGTTTGTTTTTAATGAGATCGTCGTGTTTCTCTGCAACGAGCAGAATGTTCTGATCCGTGACGTTGAAAAAGACACAAAACATGAAACCATGACGTTTGGAAAAGCAGAATGATTTCTCTGGATTACCTCTGAACAGTTTCAGTCCAACTCTCTGTGGCTGTGGAGTGAGATGGGACTGTGTGAAGTGTAACCCCCCCCACACACACACACACACACACTCTTGGACTGGTGTTAAACTCATCAATCAGACACATTTAGGTGGATGTTTGAAGGAGGAATCTTCAGCTCCAAGTGTCTGTGCAGCCTGAAACGTGGTTCTGACTCGCCTCGTGGATGACATGGAGTCTGCTGCCATCGTGAGGAGGAAGTTCACAGATCTGCTGTTGTGATTTCAGCACGCACTCGGAGCTGACTCATCATCAGCAGACAGGACGCAGACATCGGTCTCGACTCAGCGTTTAGTTTTGCTCTGGTTAATAAAAGGCTTCACAGACGTGAGGAGTCAGTCTGTTGTCAAATATGACTGTTTCTGACGGACATGAGTCGTGTAGCCTTGCAGCTATCTCCCTCTGCTGCCCTCCTCCTCCTGCACTGGTTGTCTTCAGCTGGGTTCTTCTACCTTCTGGGTTCTTTGACCAGAGTCCAGCACCATCAGTTTCCACGTTCTTTACATCCAAATAAACACCCAGTTTGTGTTGGTCTCTGCTCTGACAGCCAGCAGCAGGAAGTGTCCTGGTACAACCCCAAACAACACCCAGCTGGTCAGATAGTCCTGGTTCTGTAAGAAATGAAGACCTGAACCTGTCTCCACCGACAAGAAGAACACTCACTGAATAAAAGTTGTTAAACTTCTTCTGTAACGGACCCTGGGCAGCACACGGAGCTCTCCTTCACTCGACAACATGGCTGCTCTCTGCAGGGTTCTGGTCGGACTGTAGGATCGTGGTGTGCTCCACCCTACATGTATGATCCTGAGGTCCAGACTGGTCCGCAGGTGATCGGGTCTTCAGTTGTCAGGTTCATCAAACTGTGCATGCATGTTTCTGCTCACCTTCATACATCCTGATTAACGTGGAACTGACTCCGCCCCCTGACACGCCTCCATTTAAAGCGTAAACAGATGCAGATGTGTCTGCAGTCAAAACGATGTCTAGATGCAGGAAAATTATGTTTTTCCACAATGACACAACTTCACAGATGGTTGTGGACGTGTGTGATGGTCTACATGTTGTCTGCCTGAGGGGTCATCACAGGTGAGTTCCTCTGTCCTCACGTCTCTCATGTCTCCTCTGTCTCTGTGTCTGTAGGCTCTGCGGGTCATGGCAAAGATCATGAGGGAGTGTTGGTACGCTAACGGAGCGGCGCGGCTCACCGCCCTCAGGATCAAGAAAACTCTGTCTCAGCTCAGCCAACAAGAAGGAATCAAGATGTAGACACATCTACCAAACACACACACCTGTGACTGACACCTGTATCATTAGCATTACAACATCTGGTGATGGTTCTGATCATCAGACGGTGCATTTCATGACTTCATTCACTGACTGAGAGTTGGTGTGTGTGTGTGTGTGTGTGTGTTACGCTGAGCTAACACACACACACCTCAGTGGACGGATCAGCTGAAGGATGTTTGTGCCTGGAAGAAGTGGAGTGTTTGATTCTCACGCTGATTGAACTGCTTATCACACAACTCATCTTTATCAGAGGGATCCCTCCTCCTCAGTAGGGCTGCAAGCTGCCGTTCAGGCCGGACCAGGACCAGGTCCTTCAAACTGAACCTTCTCCTCCTGCTACATCTGTTAGCTCTGACGCTGGGTCCAACTAATGTCCACACAGTGTCCATCAGGAAGACAGCAGCCCAGATCTGAGTTTCTCGTGTGGTCTGGACCAGTCCAGCCAGGATCAGCAGTGGACCCCAGCTCCTCTTCCTCCCAACTGTGTGATTCCCTCCTGACTCTCGGTCAGACGAGGGGTCCAGTTTCAGCCCAGTGGGTCTTTGTCCCCGTATCATTTAGGACAGACAGTTCTATTTGAATTTGTCTCCTGACGTGAGTTTTGAGGTGGAGTTCTGTAGAAGTGTTGGACCTTTGACCTCAGCTTGGAGAAATAAAGATTCATTCTGCAGGAGTACCATCATATATCAGTCCGAGGATACCAGAGGATATGCATGAAGACGGGGCTTAATTTGTAAACCGATCGATGCCGAACGCAAATAGTGGGCAGGTCGGCTGGGGGGCAGGGTCTGGAGGTCCTCCTCTATAAAATTTTAAATAGATGCGATTTCCTACATTTTCACGAGTTGTTAAACATCTACGTTTACCTACATTTGTAAACACTCCGCTTCCGTCAAGCATCCTACCCCCCCTCCCTACTTGACGGTTCCGAGCCGACTCTTCTCCACTGAATTCAGTGTCCTGTTGTCCAACTCCACATGTGAAACCACCAGGCGCCTCCTCCGTCTGTTCATGACGGCTGCCTGGTTAGATCGTTACTCTCCCCCAACACTCTTTTAGGGGTGGAGACTTTTTTAAGGGTAGAGGCAGAAATGCTACTTGAAGAGGCAGCTCGTAAGTGGCTGTTGTGTTTAAAATTAGTGTTTATGTAATTACTTTCAGTTAACATGTCCAATACAAGTTTTATTTGTTCAAGGCAGTCACATTTGTTCATAACTTTATTATTATAGCCCTGAAAGTTACCAGATCCAAGCAAATGGTTACCAGAAGCACCCTGTCAAAATAAGAGAGTTCCTGAATCCTGTTCCGGCTCAAATTAAGCCCTTCATGATGAAGCTGTCTGGTCGGTGCCTACAGCTAGCTGCTGCTGCGTTTTCCCACACACACAACTGTGAGCTGTGAACCTGACTGCAGGTGGAACGACGCTGGGATAGTTTTCAGACTGGACTTGTTTTGGCTCCTGAGTCCTGTCAGAAACAAACTTTATTTCTCCAAACAGCTGTTCAGAGGTATCAGCGCTACAAAAATCCACTTCAAAACATCTGAAATATCCCTTTAGAGGAGCAGCAGAGAAGGTGTGTTTGCAGCCCTACTGGAGAGTTCAGGTCCATCAGCTGAGGCCTGGACCTTCACGTCTCATCATCCTGCTGAGTCCAGCCTCCTGGTGCTCACTGTCCTCAGATCAGCTTTGTGATGGCAGGGTTGAAGTTCTTCTGAATGAAACTGGACCTGGTGACCTCATTCATGCTGCAACATATGCAATACACAGCCGAAGACTGAACGTGTTTCTTTTCTAAACTCTGCTAACTCACAACTCTCAGCTGCCACCATGCCTTCCAAGCCAGCTGTTACCAGAAAGTGCCAGTGCTTTAAAACCCGATTCCTCTCACATCGGCGGCCGTGCACGGCTCTGTGTGTGTGTGTGTGTGTGTGCGTGAGGGGGGGCCTGCAGGAGTCCAGAACAGAGCCAGCTTGTACTATGCACACCCAAGGAGTACGGACGGGTAAAAGTGTGGGACACACACACCTGAGCATCTACAGCCAGCCAACACTCTGGTGCCATTTTGTTACGACTTCACCCAGAACCACCGAACCACCTCAGCAACAAGTCATCATTTAGCCGGTCCCGTCAAGAGTCCGGCGCTGCGCCTCCTCCAGACAAAGACCTGTCCGGTCCCTGGCTGTGCAGCGCTCACCTACTTTGGTTTCAATATAGCAAACAGGTTTACTAAGCCATAGGTTTCCAGGTGTGTTCCTGTGTCTGTCAGAATGTACATTTACCACCAACAGCTGAACAAGCCTTAAGGGACCAACACGTAAGAGTCTCTATATGCTCTTATTACGACTTTTTTAAATAGTTTTTATGAAAAAGATGCATATATATATATATATGAGTATATATCAAATTGATGATTGCTTAAAGGTAGTTTGTTTCTATGTAAAAGACAAAAGGTATATGTAGCACCTGGTTTGTTTTGTCTTGTTCTTCCAGCGCTGCCATTCATGGAAGCTGTTCAGATTGAATGTGTTCTTGTGCGAGTTTCATCAGAAGCACTCGGTTTGTGACACGCAGGTCTAAACCAGGACGGGATGTGATCAGGTCCGTCTCCGGTCACCCATGAGTGCGCTCAGATTTTACCTGGATGGCAGGCTGGACGGTGTCTCCATTCTTTTTGTGGATCCATGATGTTTTAATGTGCTGCTACTTGGTTGACCACCCAGCTGCCTGAGTGGATGTACATATCTTCACTTTACCTGTGCCAACTCTTCATCATCGCCATCATCATCATTGTCAGCCAGTCTGTAGACCAGCAGTTCATGTCACTGATGATGGTCTTTGGTTCTTCAGATTTATGGATTTTATCCAAAAGGTGCAGCTTAATTTGAGGGAAACTGCTGCCGTTGAATTGATAACGTTAGACCGACAACATTCAGCTCAGAACACACCAACACTTGTGTGGCTGACAGAAGGTTGGGGCGGAGCTGACGGTAGCAACAGGAGGCAGTCTCTCACTGGTTTGTGACTGGTTCATGAACAACATTAACAAGAATGTCTCTTAAATGTCCTCGTGGGTTCTCAGCTTCCTTAAAGACGTTTATTTAACCTTTAGTTGTACAGGTAGTCTCATTGAGTCACGAGGAGTCCTTTTCAAGAGAGACCTGTTTTGTAGGTACCCAGAGGGCAGCTGAGGATTAGGCGTCTGGCTCAAGGACACCACGACATGTGGGCATGGCAGGGAGCTGAACCTGCGACTTTCTGGTCTGAAGTCTGTAGGCCTGTCATGATAAACAATCAATTAATCATATGGTAAATGAAAATTAACCTCATTTTCATTTATCGGCTTTATCATTTCTTCATGTTTCCCTCTTTCTGCTGAAGACACTGGATGATAAAAGGCTTTCAACTCGGGTGCTCTTCACTGACCCCTCCCTTTCTCTTAAAAAAATAAATAAATTTTAATCGTCCAAAATCATGTTTTTGGGTCGTTAAAAGCAGCTAAGCTGAGAAGCTAAGCTACGAGCTAAGCTAACAGGCCGACCTCGGGGAAAACGCCTCCGTCTTGTCTAAGCTCCAAAATTCACGGTTGAAACCCGTGCCTTCGTGTAAAAAGTTGATGTTCTCTGCAAAAAGAAGCTGCGAAGAGTTCAAACCACACAGAGCGTCCGCCATTTTGAGAACCGGAAAACAGGAACAAGAGACAGCCCATGTCACGTCAAGGGGCCTCCCTCCCATTTTTCTTAAAGAGACACGCTGCTCGCTCCCTCACTATGCATCCTTCAATTCTACCAGTCTTATACTGCCATCCCGTGGTCATAAAAAGGTACTACACTCAAAACAAATTAACCAACATTTCTTCTTAAATTATACAATAATTATAAATTATTGTCAAATTTTAAACCATATTATCATTTATCGCTATAATTTCTGAGACAATTAATCGCCCAGCAAAATTTGTTATCGTGACAGGCCTACAAGTTGGCTGCCCTACGTCTACACCCCAGCGGCCCCTAGTTGCAGAGTCTTGTAGTCCTGTTGGCTCCAAAGTGGACCGGCGGGGCTAACATGGAATTATACACAGCCTAAAAGAGTTTCATGAGTCGTGCTCATGAAAATATGTTGACCTTTTGAAAAAACAGGCCACTCATGGTGGCTGCGTGGTTCGCTGGTCACCTGGCAGCAAACAGAATCCAGTGAGACTGAAACACCGCTCAGTTTTGATTCTCCAGCAGTCACAGTCCAGTGACAGACCCCTAAATGGATTGAAGCTCCCAGTAAAGAGCCTGTCAGAACCTTCATCCCCGTCAGTCTTAATTCAGTGGGAGTCTGCTCGTGCTTCTCATCAGGAATGTCATCATCAGTCACTAAATTAGACAAAATGACCCAAGAATGGGGAACTTCACAACCAGATTAGTGAAACCAAAACCAGGACTCCCTTTTTTAGTTCCTAAATGGTGCTACATCTCTGAAAACAAGAACAAACCTCAGTTAACCAGCTGACAGTGAACGCAACACCTCCATGATGGCTTTCTACAAGCTGCAGACAGTGATGTCAAAAAAAAGTTCTGCTCCAACCAGTGTGTTTTAATTTTTACGAGTTATCCCTGTTAATAAAATATTCTTAATTCTGTAGAAAATTAAAAAAATGGCAGAAGTGACATTTTCAGTTGTGTAAATATCTTCTGGAGTAAACAAATATCCTTTTTTTTTTATATAAAGTGATGTGGATTCTGCTGCTAGTACAGAAATAATAGGAGGAGGATGAGGGGACAGAACGTGCTGAAATAATTACTAAATGTGTCCAAAAGTAGTCAAACTGCGATGTCCTGACGGGGACAGCCAAGTCCATGGACTCTTCATTTAGAACCGTCTGGTTTAGGAACAGAAAATGTTAAATCATTTCATCTGGACCAGTTTATTTAAGGGAGAAACATTTTGTCTCCCATCCTGAGGACTTCGTCAGTCTGCGGCCTGCCAACCAGATCTGTCCCATAGGTAGC